ACCTCCCACATGACTGAAGATTCCTGAGGCCTCCCCAGAAACAGGTGCCAGTGTCATGCTTCCTGCACAGCCTGCAGAACCATGAGCCAATTCAATCTATATTCTTCATAAACTACCCAGTCTCAGGTATTTTGTTACAGCAATGCAAGAATGGCCTAACACACTTACCATAGTAAAGCTCTATCAAGCCCAATTTCTTTTAGTCATGGGCTAAAAATGTTCTTAGACTTAAGCCTACATGGCTTAAGCAACAGGCCATTTACTATCTCAAATGATATTTAAGCAGTATAGAGATATACGGAGCCAAAGTAGGTTAATGGAGCCACTCAATAACATCTGAGCTTGGGGTTGCCTTTTCTGTTCGGTCATACCTTAGAGGTAGTGTAGGTCAGTTCCAGAGCACAGCAATGAAGCAAATATCACGATAAAGGGTATCACACAATATTTTGGCTTCCCAGTCCATATAAAAGTTATGTTTATATTATACTGTTGTCTATTAATATGCAATAGCATTATGTCTTTTAAAACAATGTACATATTTGAATTGAAAAATACTTCATTGCTAAAAAATGCTAGCAATCTAAAAAAATCTTGAAGCCTTCAGTGAGTTATAATCTTTTTGTTGGTGAAGGGTCTTGCCTTGAGGTTGATGGCTGCTGACTGGTCAGGGTGGTAGCTGTTGAGGGCTGCGGTGGCTATAGCAACATCTTAAAATAATGCAGTGAAGTTTGTCACATCGATTGACTCTTCCTTTCACAAAATATTTTTGTCTCATTCAATGTTGTCTGATAGCATTTTACTCACAGCAGAGCTTCTTTCAAAATTGGAGTCAATCCTCTCAAACCCTGCAGCTGCTTTATCAGTTAAGTTTATGGAATATTCTAAATCTTTTGTTGTAATTGAAACAACTTTCACAGCATCTTCACCAGAAGTAGATTTCCTCTCAAGATACCACTTTCTTTATTCATCCATAAGAAGTAACTCTTCATCTGTTCAAGTTTTATCATGGGATTGAAGCAATTCAGTCACATCTTCAGGCTCCACTTCTAGTTCTAGTTCTCTTGCTGTTTCTACCACATCTCCAGTTACTTCTGAAGTCTTGAACTCCTCAAAGTTATCCATGAGGGTTATAATCAATTTCTTCCAAACTCCTCTTAATGTTGATGTTTTGACCTCCTTCCACACCTATGAATGTTCTCAATGGCATCCTTTCCAGGTTTTCAATTTACTTTGCTCAGTTCCATCAGAGGAATCATTATCTATGGCAGCTACAGCCTTTTGAAATGTGTTTCTCAAATAAGACTTGAAAGTCAAAATTACTCCTTAGTCCATGGGCTGCAAAATGTATCTTGTGTTAGCAGGCAAGAAAACAACTTTCATGTTGTATATCTCCATCAAAGCTCTTGGGTAACTAGATGAATTGTCAACAAGCCGTGAGATTTTGAAAGAAATCTTTTTTTCTGAGCTGTAGGTCTCAACAGTGGACTTAAAATATTCACTAAACATTCTGTGAACAGATGTGCTGTCAGCCAGGCTTTGTTGTTCCATTGACAAAACGTAGGCAAAGCCAATTTAGATAGTTCTTAAAGGGCCCTAGGATTTTTGGAATGGTAAACGAGCATTACCTCCAACTTAAAGTCAGCAGTTGGGGCTGGGCACAGTGGCTCATGCCTGTAATCCTAGCACTTTGGGAGGCTGAGGCAGGTAGAGCATTTGAGTTCAGGGGTTTGAGACCAGCCTGGGCAACATGGTAAAACCCTGTCTTTACAAAAAATACAAAAACTAGCTGGGCATGGTAGTGCATGCCTGTAGTCCCAGCTACTCGGGAGGCTAAGGTGGGAGGATCGCTTGAGGCTGTAGTGAGCCATGATCGCAGCACTGAACTCCAGCCTGGGTGACACAGTGAGACCCTGTGTCAAAAAAATAAAAATAAAAATAAAAAGTCAGCAGTTGCATTAGCCCCTAACAAGAGAGTCAGCCTGTGCTTTGAAGAGAGGGACCTCTCTTCTTTAGCTAGAAAAGTCCTGTGTGGCACAGTCTTCTAATAGAAGGCTTTCTTTTGGTCTACACTGAAAATCTGTTTAGTGTAGCCACCTTCATCAATTATCTTAGATCTTCTATATAACTTGCTGCAGCTTCTACATCGGCACTTGCTGCTTCACTTTGCACTTTCATGTGATGGAGATGATGTCTTTCCTTAAAACTCATAACCAACCTCTGCTAGCCTTTTTTAATGAAGCTTCCTCATTTCTGTCAGCCTTCATAGAATTGAAGAATTAGGGCCTTGCTCTGAATAGGCTTTTGCTTAAAGGTATGCTGTGGCTGGTTTGATCTCCTATCCAGACCACTCAACCTTTCTACTTATCAGCAAGAAGGCGGTTTAACTTTCTTATCATGCCTGTGTTCAAGAGGGAAGGACTTTTACTTTCCTTCAAGAACTTTTCCTGTGCATTTACAACTTGGCTAACTGGAACAGATCTAGCTTTCTGCCTATCTCAGCTTTCAAGATGCCTTCCTCACTAAGCTTAATCATTTCTAGCCTTTGATTTAAAGTGAGAGCTATGTGACTCTTCCCTTCACTTGAACACTTAGAGGCCAACGTAGGGTTATTTATTGGCCGAACTTTAATATTGCTGTGTCTTAGGGAGTAGAGAGGCCCCAGGAGAGGGAGAGAGATGATCAGTCAGTCAGTGGAGCAGTCAACACATACACTGAATCTGCTGTCTTATAAGGGTGCAGTTTGTGGCACCGCAAAATAATACAATAGTGACATCACAGATCACTATAACATATATAACAGAAAAGTTTGAAATATTTCAAAAATTACTGAAATGTGACACAGAGACACCAAGTGAGAACGTGCTGTTAGAAAAAAATGGTGCCACTAAACTTGCTCAATGCAGGGATGAGCAATACAAACCTTTAATTTGTTAAAAAACAACACAAAAGCCACAGTATCTGTGAAGCGCAATAAAGTGAAGCATAAAACAAGGTAAGCATGTATTTGAATTGCTGTTCTCTCATGTCATGGTTGCAGAATATGCTGCCACAGCTCCAAACATGTCTGGCTCACTGGAGGATGTCCAAGGCAAGAAGTAAGGAAAAAAAAAATTGTCCTTAGACTGTCAGGATAAAATCCTTCCCCTGAAGCTCCTCATCCCCCACTCTTCATTATGGATTGAGTAGAATTAGGTCACATTTTTAGCTCCTCAACCAGTTACTGGCTGACAAAGAGGGACAGAGTACCAAGAGGTTTAGACCAGTGGTTCTCAAAGATCTGCAAAACCTTCAGGAGGCAAGTTCCCAAGATCCTTCCAGGTAGTCTGCAAAGTCAAAACTATTTTTACTCTAATACTAGGATATTATTTGTCTTTTTCACTCTCATTATGAGTGTACAGTAGAGGTTTCCAGAGGCTACCTGAAATAGCACAACAGATTGAATGCACAAACATATGAAAATCTAAATGCCTTCTATTAAGCAAGACGTTAAAGATATGAGCAAAATTTTAAAGTAGCACCATTCTTTACTAATTTTTTGAAAATATAGTTATTTTTAAATAAATGTACTAATTTTAATTTTTGTTCATTGTTTTTTAAAAATAACTATTTTTAAATTTGTTTTAATATCAATAGCTGTAACCCACATAAACAAAAGTTCTTGGTGCTCTCAATAATTTTACAAGTGGAAAGGGGTCTTGTGACCAAAAGATTGAGACCACTGAATTATTCTGGCAGATCTTATTCCTCCCTGGGGTTGCTGGGGGCAGGGCCAAACTTCCCAGATCTCAACTAAACTTGGCTCAAACCTTTTAAAAATGTAACTGTTAATGGTAAGGGCACTTGGGCTCAACAGCAGCTAGTTGGATCTCTGAATGCTTAGGCCAAAAGAAAAGAGGAGAATTTCATTGGGCCCTGAAGTTGTCACTGCGGCATGCTTCTTCTGCTGTTTTTCTGGCCTTGATCTTTCATCCAGGATTAGGTTCATGCAAACTGGAAGGCCGGCATTCCTCCCACTCTTGTTTTTCAGTGTTAATACATCTTCATCTCTCATACTGTTTTGGTTTCAGAATACTCTCAGGAGCCTCCTTGAAATACCAAACCTGTTTTCCGCCTTTTGAATAAATCCCTTGGATTCACCAAAACCAAACCAAACAAAAATCAAAGTACATCTTTGTGTAACCCATATGCCTGTGATTTCTCCATCAGATCTCCTTCCTTTCTCTGGCCTCTTTTCTTCCCCGGAGAATTTTAGGCTGCCAGGGAACCAGGGAGGAGCCGGCCTGACCCTGGCCACGGGTGCAGCAGGCATAGGTTTTCATTGCACATATTTTGCTGAGTGGGTGTAGGACATTTTTGAATAAACTGAGAGTTCATGAATGCCATTTCTTAGTCTTTCCTTTGCCCGCTGTCTTCTGCCCAGGTCCATTTCTTCGCCCTAATTTTACATGTAACTTTCTCCTGGTTGGGTTGTTTGCATCCACAACTCCCGACGCTTGGACCTCCCGTCCCTAGGGCCTGACCTAATTCTAGGTGCCTGCTGTTTGATTAATTTCTCCACTTTGGCAAACGCACGTGGCTCTTCTGGAAGCTTCACTTTTGCTGCTAGGTTGGGTGTTGAGGTTCAGCCGGGCTCCTAAAACGTGCTCTAAAGCAACCATGACCCCCTGTCCCCTGGCAGAGCCCCGACCCCGAACGCTGCAGGCACCAGGAGGAGGCGGGGAACAGGGCCTGGCCGGGTGAATCACAGGGCGTAACAGGTGCCGCAGCCGCAGCTGCGCCCGCTGAGCGCGGACTCCAGGGATAAGGTCTTCTTTTTCTCCGGGTTTTTTTGGAGGTGAGGAGGAGACTCCAGAGGCCCCCCCACTCGACCAATGCAGACCGCGGTTGTTCATCGCCTAGCAACTGGCGGAGCCAATGGGAGGCGGCAGGGCCTGCGGCGCCGGCGCGCTGGGGCGGGGTGGGAACCTCAAGAACCTGCGGAGGCCGGGAGGCGGCCGCGAGGGGCGGGGAAGGCGGGAGTTCGCGGCGGAGGAGGAGCCGCCGGCGGGAGGCGCTGCGAGGCGCTGCTGGCCCTCGGGGCTGCGGGAGCCGGGCTAGGACGCCGAGCGGTGACTCCCCGCCGCTCCCGGGGGCCGTGACGGTGAGCGGCCGCGCCTCGCGGCGGGGATTGTGACGCGCCCCGCCAGGCAGGGGCGGGGGTGGGGTGGGCGCCGGGTGGGCGCCGGCGCGGGGCGGACGCGCGCGGAGGTGAGAGCCGTACCTGGCTCAGCGCCCCGCGGCGCGGCGGGAGGCTGCGCGGGGCGGTTGGGGCCGTTGCAGGGTGCGGGTGAGCGTCGACCCGGGCCGCGCCTGGGAGAGGAGGTGGGAGGTAGGTGCTGGCCCCGGGACCGCGCTCGCTGGCGTTCGCGGCGGTGAGCCCGCGGAGGGCTCTTGCCCAAGGAGCCCCAAACCCTCTCCGCGATGGAGCGAAGGTGGCGCCCAGCGTAGGAGGACAAGCGGCGCGGAGACGCGGAGGAGGAGGGGATAGCCAATTTGGGGCTGCAGAGTCTCAAAGCGGCCGTGGGGCAGGCGGGCTTTGGCAATTTGCTAGTGCAGCCGCAAGAGGCAGTCTTTAGAATGACTTATTGGGTGGCCAGTGGCCGCTGCAGTGGAAGAGAACCCAGATAGTGGTCTAATAAAAAGTCTAGGGGAAGAACTTACCTCATCCAAGAGGCAGGCATGTGTGAAAATACTTTGGTTTAGAATTTTATAGTCAATGACAGTAAACTGAATTGTAAGCTCCCTGTACCTTTTTTGAGCCCATGCTAATTGCCCATTTAGGCAGATCGCTTGGGCCCAGGGCATAGAATCTACTAAATAATTTGCTGTCATCACGTATAATATGGAAATCTTTAGATTATTACTCAGTTTCAAGGCCCATAGTTGTAAATGCCGAACTGTCATTACTAGCAACACTGATAAAGTTCTTGTTGAATCTAAGAGAATTGAGAAGTGTAAGGGTGGAGGCTTCTTGAACTTCCTGGGCTCCCTAACAATTCAGATTAGAGTCAAGGTGTAGAGTTTGCTGTGGGCGGTGGATGTCGTGGAACCCTTCATTGTTCTTGGGGGATTGGCTTACTCTGGGGTAGAAGAAAATTCTGGTAGTCCTGTAGTTTAATCCTGAACTAGAAAGGTTGGTATGACTTGACTCATTTAGGAGCCCAAATAAAATTTGTAAAGAATTAGAACTTTGGAGAGAAAAGAAATGCCTTTCAAGTTGACATCAAGCTGTCTTGAAATTGAGAAGTTCGAGGTAGATTTATGAATTTGGATCCAGTTGGCAAAACTCGATCCATGAAACATGAAATCTCTTATCCTAAAACTCAACCTACAGGCCTAGCCAGCTTAGGTTATTCATTCACAGTAAACAAGTAAGGAAAGCTTAACTAATTTAACACTTTGTTCTGCCTGCTGTCAATGAAAGTTTCTCAAAAACGGTTCTTTGAGAAGAGGATTAGGAACTATAGTTAATCAGTGACTGGCTGGGCCTCTTAGGCCAAGTCATTGTATACTCTTCCTTCCCTTCTCTTTCCCCAGCTGTACAGTGAAGATAATAAAGCTCATGGATTACGTAACATGGGTGAGGCGGCTTAAAGATAACTGTGAAGACTTAGTTATTCTAGGATGAAATGTGGAGATCTCATCACACATTATGTTTTGCGACAAGGCTTGTTAAAGCACATTATGTTCTAAACATAATGAGACAGATACATGAGAAAAGTAAAATATTATGCTGAAATTATTTGCTAAAGACCTCAAGTCCGGCACAATGTCCAATTATATACTTGGGATCTCCTAATACTTGACAGTCTGCCCTTTGGCCAAAGCTGGCCCTGACACCGGTTTTATAAAGTAGACGTTTGAGTGCTTTCTATGTAGAGAAACTAGGTGCATGAAAAGACGTGGACCCAGAATTGTGTGGTTTTAATTCGTTTCACATGCTTAAGGATCGCTTTCGAAGATTTTTTAAGTTATTTTCTTCCATATCTTTTCAATAGCTGTCAACATGCTTTCTTATTGGTCTGACCATTTGCTCATGATACAAAGAGGTTTTGATACGACGTGGGTTTGTTTTGTGGCTTTGGTATTGGTGATATGGTTAGAAGTGAAGGTACAAGTTATGTTAATTCATGAGTTTATGGGATGAGATAGAACAGAGAAATGCACCATTAGTAATGAAAAACAACCTAGAATCATGCCTTTTGATTGCGGGCCAATATTTTATGTAGTACCAGCAGACTTACTGAATTATGCTTTAATAATTCTTTCAATAAATATTCATTAAACACTTAGTAAGCTGCTACTTGCCTGACCTGAGGGTAAAAAGATGAGTCTTGCCTTGCAGAATTGTATTTTGGAAATTATCAGTATAGTAAGGGAGAGGGCAAAAAAATCTCACAACAAATATAGGAAGGCTTTCGAAAAGAACGAGAATTTCACCTGTGTCTGGCTGAGGCGGTGGAGTTTGTCAAGCAGCTGGTGCATTCTGCAGCAGTGTACAGTTGAGGAGTTACAGGTGGTTTGGTAGAGTTGGACCAGGTTGGGGTTGTCGTATTAATAAGGCTGTAGAACAGTGCTGTGAACATTGACTGGTAGATTACAGGGAATCTTCGGAAGGTTTTATGTAGGGAAATTATATTTGATTTTTACTTCAGAAGGATATTTCCACCAAAATCAGTAATTTGAATGATCCAAAATGTATTGAACATAATCCAAATATCTGAAAGACAGGAGTCTCACACAGCAATTAGACTTGAGGTGTATTTTGCTGAAGCTCTCAGAAACTCTAGAAAAGCAGAAATAATTATCCAAGAAACCTTTCTTAAGTATCTTATACTTTTAAGACTGGAAGAATGGGGATACGAATTAAGTAATTCCCCATTTTCAAGCAACCTGCAATTCAATAGGAGAAATAACACAATTATAATGCAGTGTAGTATCTGAGTGTCAGACAAAAATGTCAGGCTCTAGCAGTGTAGGATTCTGAGATAAGAGAAGAAATAGTCTTTTGAATTAGCAAAAATAAGTTTTTAAATAGAAATTAAACTGCTAGCACTTAAATGTTCAGAGTAATCTTAACTACCTCATCTTTTAACTCTTGCTTCACACATATCCTTTTCTCATTCTCTTGAGTCACATTTTCGGTTTGATCTACCCTAAGAGCTATGTGACCTTGTGCCCTGGTTGTCGCATTTGTGAAGAATAATACCAATACCTACTTCGTTGGGGTGTGATTAGAAAAATGTGTTAGTATCTAGAACAATACCTGGAAAAATAGCTCATACTTATGGAGCACTTAATATTTCTACTTGATATTAAAATGCTGTAACTAAGTAAGAACTGACTTTAAAGACAGGATTTTTTTTTTTTTTTAAATGTCATGGTAGAGCTATCCATGAGCATCTGATAAAGCCTCTACATTCAGAGAAACTAACATTCTTTTAAACTAAGATTCTTGAGCAAGTTATTTTTTTTTCTTATTTGGTGATCATCTTTCTGAAGTTTGATTTTCATTTTTAACCCTCAGCATTGTCATTAAGTCACTAATCACCAACTCCAACACGTTTTTAAAATTAAAAACTTGCCCATTCCATGGTATTTGCTGCTGTCACACTTCCTCTTTAAAACTCTCTGCTCCCTTGGCTTTCCTGAAGGCGTTCCCCTCTCTTTGTATCTCCTGCATCTGCGTCTCCTTTGCTCACTCATGTTGATGTTCTTCAGGGTTCGTTCTCCTGCCCCTTTTTTCTTTATGAATTCATCTACCTAAATGTGCTCTTATGTCTTGTGCTCTCTAGGCCTAGAGTTGATCCCCATGAGAATGTCTCATGAAGGCATCTCCAAACCCAGTAAGCTACACAAAGCTCATTATCTCCACACATTTGCCCAAACCCAGTTTTATTTTATTTTTTTTTTTTTTGAGACGGAGTTTCGCTCTTGTTACCCAGGCTGGAGTGCAATGGCGCGATCTCGGCTCACCGCAACCTCCGCCTCCTGGGTTCAAGCAATTCTCCTGCCTCAGCCTCCTGAGTAGCTGGGATTACAGGCACGCACCACCATGCCCAGCTAATTTTTAGTATTTTTAGTAGAGACGGGGTTTCACCATGTTGACCAGGATGGTCTCGATCTCTCGACCTCGTGATCCACCCGCCTCGGACTCCCAAAGTGCTGGGATTACAGGCTTGAGCCACCGCGCCCGGCCCCAGTTTTATTCTTACTCCTCTGTTCCCTTTATCTAAATGACGCTATTATCTGTCTAGTGCCAAAGACAGACTTTCACATGACAGAGTAAATGCCTCCCTTTTGTATACTTGTCACCATGTTCTGTCAGTCCAACTTCTGAATTATTTCTTAAACCTGTTCTTCACTATCCTCTGTCACTGGCTAAGTCAGCCAGCTGGCTCCTGACCATTAATTGCCCAGTTTACTATAATATCTGTCTTAAAGATTTTTTTTTTCAGATTATGAAAGTGTTGTATGCTTTTTCTAAGAAAAAATTAAGGTAAAAAGCAAAAAAGTTTTTTTTTTTTTTTTTTTTTTTTTTTTTTGAGACGGAGTTTCGCCCTTGTTACCCAGGCTGGAGTGCAATGGTGCGATCTCGGCGCACCGCAACCTCCGCCTCCTGGGGTCAGGCAATTCTCCTGCCTCAGCCTCCTGAGTAGCTGGGATTACAGGCACGTGCCACCATGCCCAGCTAATTTTTTGCACTTTTAGTAGAGACGGGGTTTCACCATGTTGACCAGGATGGTCTCGATCTCTCGACCTTGTGATCCACCCGCCTCGGCCTCCCAAAGTGCTGGGATTACAGGCTTGAGCCACCGCGCCCGGCGCGCAAAAAAGTATTTAAATTACTTTATGTATAGTTCCTGCCATACAGAGAGCACTGAGAATATATTTCTGTGCTGTGGCATTACAGATAGAACTTATTCTACAAGCATTAAGTTTGGAGGAGATTTGTAGAGAAATATTTTTCTAAAAGAATTGTAGGACTGGCCGGGTGCGGTGGCTCAAGCCTGTAATCCCAGCACTTTGGGAGGCCGAGGCGGATGGATCACGAAGTCAAGAGATCGAGACCATCCTGGTCAACATGGTGAAACCCCGTCT